TGTCAGCTTGGTGGCCCAGGGCTGGGTTTCCTCCGTGCCAGGCACTTCCCGAGGTGCAGGGAGCTGAGCTGTGAACGCAGCCGAGTCCCTCTTCTCAAGGAGCTCATGTTTGGTCGGGGAAGGTGTTAGATCGTACACAAGGAAACAAACAACTTGTGACCTGGACAAGGGACGTGATAAGGAGTCATTTGGGAGGTAGGGTCAGCAGCCAATCTGAGATAAAGCGGTCAGGGCAGGCCTCTTTTCAAAGGGGGACATTTGAGCTGAGTGACGAGGAGTCAACCATTCACTCACATAATTGAGAACAGAGACTTCCGGGCCAAGGAAACGACAAGGTGGGAGTGATCTTGGTGAGGTCAAGGACCAGCATGGCCCTGGTAACAACCGAGTCTTAAGTGGGTAGGAGATGAGGCTGGATGGGCAGGCAGGGTCTTCAATGCCTGGCTAAGGAGTGTGGGCTTTAATCTAAATGGCACTGAGAGCTATTGGACAGCTTTAAGCAGCACACGATCCACTTGCTCCTTTCATTCTGACGGTGAAGGGAGCCATCGAGAACAGAAGCAGGAAGAGGGGTTGAGATGCAGAAAGATGAGGCAGTGATGTGGGTCAGTGGTAGGATTCCTACCTACTGTGTGAGAGGCTAGGTTCCCAGTCGAGTACGAGTTAGGCTACTAACCACAGGGTTGACAGTTCAAACCCACTAGCTGGCTCCTCTGGAGCAAGATGAAGTTTAAGTGCCACGGCAACCCTATATGGGGTCAGTACAAGTCAGAACTGACTGGAAGGCAGTGGGTTTGATTTCCCTTTCAGTTCTGTGAGCGAGCTGGGCTGGATTCCTGGTCCGTGCACCTCATGGGCAGACACCACCTACCTGTCTCTCAGAAGAGGCTTGTGTGTCAACTGTGATGCTAAACAGATTTCAGTGGGACTTCTGGGCTCAAATAAACTAGGAAGAAATGCCTGGCGATTACCACTACCACCACCCCTCCCTGCCCTTGGATAGATCACAATGGACTAGTCCAGTGGTTCTCGACTTTTCTAATGCTGCCACCCTTTCATACAGTTCCTCGTGTTGTGCTGACCCCCCCAACCATAAATTATTTTCATTGCTACTTCATCACTGTAATTTTGCTACTGTGATGAATCAGGCAACCACAGTGAAAGGATCATTCTGGCCCCCAAAGGGTCCTGACCCACAGGTTGAGAACCACTGGTCTAGTCACTGGGTAGCCATGGGGCTGCAGCATTTTGGGCCTGCCTGCACGGGGCCCCGCTGTGGCCCACAGGAATGGATGGGCTCCACACACCGTTTAAAGGCAGAGCCAACGAGACTTCGTAATGGGTTCAGGAGTGTGAGGCAATGGCACTACGGAGAGTCCAGGAAGAACCCGGGTGATACCTGGATTTTCCTAGAATTCCAACTGGTGACTTCTTGGAAGGAAAGCTCTGTGTGCACGCTAGCAGGCACCTGGCTAAGGGTGGGGGTGGGGAGGCCCCCTCAGGAAGTGCCAGTTGAGCGAGTCAGATTTTCAGGAGGATGAGTGGGAGCCCCAGTGGTGTAGTGCTTCCCTGTAGGGCTGTGACCCACATGGTCGGCAGTTCAAAAGTACCAGCAGCTCCTGGGGGACGGGGCGAGACGGGGTTTTCCAGGAGACTCATAGGGGACAGTTGTGGGTCCGTGAGATGTTCCTCTGCAGGACGGCCCAGTGATGGTTATAAACACCTGCTTCGTACCTGACAGTCTTTAGTGGAGGACAAAGGAAGTCAGGGCTGCCCGGCTAGGTTGGAGCTTTTCAAGTCTGACAAGTGACGTCTGCAGTGGCCACTGGGGGCCGGCTCCACGCTGGTGCCCATGCCTGGTGGTCCCTGCTGCTTCACCCACTCTTCTGTTCCCTCCCCCTCCATTGGGGTTTGGGGATGGGGGCGGTGTGCAGACTAATTCCTCTGGCTGGTGAGCAGGTTGTTTGCCCTTTGGGCAGCCTAAGCAAGAGTTGCCCGATGCTCTTCGCCCAGGGCAAAGTTGCAGTGTGTCTAGTCCTCTGTCCTCCTTCTCAGACCTCCTTCCCACTTTCACCTGCACGGGAGGCGATTGGAGCTGTGGGGAGGCCAGTCCTCAAAGTGACAGCTTTACTTTTTACAACTTTTTTTTTAATCGTTTTATTAGGGCCTCATACAACTCTTATCACAATCCATACA